TCCCCGCAGGAATCCCAACGCCACAGAGCTTCAGCAGTCATCTGGTGAATGTGACACCTGAATCTCTGGTCAGCTTCCACTTTCTGGGCCAGTCTCTTCTTCCACAGGCTGAAAGCCAGCTGGCAGCAATGAACTCGATGTTTTAGGGCTGCTGCTGCTTTTCGGTTCTTATTTTCCACAGCCCAGTGATGCCAGCTGAAAAAGGCTCTGAGAAAGATAAAGGTCATTGGACCAACTGTAGGAACAACTCACACAGATTCACACCCTTATAACTGAAACTTTAACAATAAACATACACGTGAGGGAGTTCAGGAAATACAGCTGATCTGTTAACATCTTTTCCCCATTACAAGTCAGGGGAAATGATGGACAGGGCAAGTTGCTGGGAGTAAGGTGTTCTGTCCTGGCTGTGCCAAGCCTGTTGGTTTCTTCAACTTCCAAATGAGAAGAAGCAAGGCCAGTTCAGTGGACAGGAAGTTACCAGGGCTTGTTATCAACAGTGCTGGGCTTCCTCTAATTTGCGAGGCATCCCATCAAACCAGAAATGATTGTGTTCAGCTATAATAATTTTGAAGCAGGTACCCCCGAAATACTAGGCTGCAAAACTCCCACTGAAGACAGAAGATAGCTAGAGGAAGTGTTTTGTTTTTTGTTTTTTTTTTTAAAGCAAGTGTAGAGCTCTCAAAACAGACAGCTTTAGGAACTTCTGGAAAGCACAATACCTACCGAGACAGCTGAACAAGCCTGCAGTACTGCTGGGCCTTTACAAGTTGCTGAGTCCGAGCTGACCAGACAATGAAGTACCTCTGCAGGCAGCATTTCTCTGCTTGGTGCCAGCAACTCTTCACCTCCTTGTCAGAACTGCAGTCCTGTAATCCACAAAAGCAAAAAAAAAGGGCCTTGAACTGCTGCTGTGACACAGTCACTCCATGCAGCTCAGCCCTTTCTCCTTGCCACTGTGACTTCTATGATTGCCTAACTCCCTGTTGCTAACCCACAAACACACACATCACATGAACACCCAGACCCCAGAGGGTCTAACACATCCCTTTTAAATCCTTGACACATGGCCAATCTCCAATTCAGCTGGCAAATGGTAAGAAAGAGCTACCCCAAGAAATGCCTCAATCTCCCAAACCTTCTGTCTGAGAGAGTAAACCAAAGAGAGAACAGCAGTGAGACCTTCCATATGCTAATATTGAAACCCAAAGGCTCTTCACTAAGTTGGGCTATGCAGAAAACACTTGTACATTTGCATGCATTACACCACTTTTCAGCCTCACCTCTTCCCATGTAGAGTAACTGGTGAGAGGCTGGACATTATTGTCTGGATTCTGCAGTGCCAAAGACTGGAACAGACCTTCAACAAACCAATTTTTTCTGCAAGACAAAAGTGTCAGGGGAAAAGGGAAAGAAAGAAGAGGATAAAGCACCCAGAAGGATGCTGTGACATGACATGAGGGACTAGCCAGAAGGAAGGAATTCAGCCAGATCAAACAAGGGGCCACACTGCTACCAGCATCCCAAGGAACCAATATCCAACTCACTCAGATCCAGTACTCTGTGGAGGAAAGGAGGCCTGCAAGTACAGCTCCCCACCCCGCTCAGCTGGCAGCTCTGCACGCTGGTGTAGTTGCAGGAAAGAATTGTAATACGGCATGTGTGTGACATCCTCAGCAGTCAGAATGGAGGAGAAGCTCTGCTGGCTGCTGTCACTAAAACTGTATTCCTGCAGGTATGGAGCAAAGAAGATGCTGTGAGGTAAGTGTCCTTGCAATGGAATCACTTAGCTAACAATTCCAACCATGCCATTTCCTCCTCTTTTTGGCAAGGAAATCCAGGATGCATCCAAAGGAACTGCAGGCTGGCAAGGACAGCTCTGGAGTGTACACACATAGATGATGGGAAAGTTATGTCTATACTAGTCTGGGAATGGTTAACCCCAAAACAACCAGTAATCAAACACAACAAACCATCACTGAGAGAGTACATATGCCTGTTTCTCCTTTTCTCAGTGATGAGGTTCTTTGTACCTCATCCCTTCCACCCTGCAGCCACAAACAGGAGCAAGTGCACAAGAAAACCTCACTAGCTCAGCACCTCCCCATATCACTAAATGATGAACAAAGAAGGGCACAGAGGGAAGTGACTTTACAATTTCTGATTACATTTTAACTCCTGGACCCTACAGGCTCAGCGCTCTTCAGGCCTAAATACCCAGCACAATTTGCTGATGACAGTATCATGTTGAAGCAGAAATTCTCCCCTGAAAAAACCCAGAAACTTAATACCTCAGGGCAGACTGGATAAATCAAGATCTTCTCACCTTTTCCAATGAGCTTTGAGTAGCTGGAGCACTGCTGTCAAAGCCAGAAGATGTTGAGAGGTCCTCAGAAAATAGCATAGCAAGAGTTTCTTCACAGACAGTCCTGTGCAAGTGCTTAGGACTTTGTTCAATTGCCTTCAGCATGAGACACTTTTGGTGCCATAATTTCAGAGCTTTTTTGAGTTTACACTGCTCCAAAGCCTGAGAGAAAGAACTGAGACAGAATATATTGAGACAGCAAAGTGACTGAAAAGGGATACCAGAGGGGGACACTAATACAGACATGATGGATGATAGATGGTAAAAGGGGTTCTTCCAGAAGGACCAGAAAGTCAAGTGGACACTACTAATGAGGGTAGGGCTCCAGGGAACTGGCTCTTCTTCACTCACCCAGCTCTGTGTTGCTCGCACAGCCTTGCTTTCCACAGCAGATATATTCTCTGGAGCTTCACCTTTTGGCAGAAGTCATCAAGAGAGTAGCCTGTTCTGTCAGGAAACCATCCCTCTACAGTCCACAATGACTGATCTTCATGCCTTTTTGTTGCAGTCTTGTCAGCTACAGAGCTTGTAACTGGTACTTAACCAGTTACAGAGGGTGACAAGAGACAGCATTTGTCAGAAGGCATTCCTAAGAAATATAGCCCAGCCCAGCCTTCACACTGCTTCTTTTCAGCAAGGTTTAATACCTTCTGCTAAGTTTACGAAACAGAGCAACAAATCTCCCTGTAGCTTCACTGAGACATCCAGAACAACTAGTCCTCTACCCACTCTGGTTTGTTAATACCATGTATCATCTAAGCCTCTCTGTTATCAGGCTGTTTTCAGCTGGTTTTCACCATACAAGAAGAGGAGGAAGGAGCCTAAGCACCTCAAATCTTAGATTCTGCACAGGCCCCAAACTGCTCACCATAATGCTGCCTCCATCGTAGGAGAAAGAAGTTCACCATTGCCTGCTTATCGCCTTCTCTGACCTGCAGCATCTGAACCCACTGCTGGAAGTACTTCCTCAGTGATACTACTCTGAGATGGGACAGGTTGCACCTGTAATGCACCTTCTGCTCAACAGTCTCCTTCCATACACTGAAGCACCTGAGAAAACCAAAGGAAAATAAAAACACATAGGGAACCATGCGAAGAGTGTGAAAAAGTTTTTGTCTCCTCCTGAGACTGGATTTAGTTCAGGAAAGACAGACAGAAACTGTTGTCTTCTGAGCTTCTATTAGTTTATTTCATTAAAAAGCCACTGTCCTGCTTAGAGCACAGCAGCACAGCGAGTGCTCTCAGGCTGGCCTTTCAGAACTTCAAAGGTCAGGACCAAAAAGCTTTGGCAGTGCACTTTGAGATGGAACAACACATCACTGGGTTGGCTCTGTCATTCCTAGGACTTTCATAGCCAACAGCCATTTCACATGAAAAATAGACCTCATCAACTTACCGAGAGACCAAGTTTTTTTGGATCTGAGTTGTCAGCACTAAAATCTTTTCCATTTCCAAGCACCGGGAACGCCATACCCAGAAAATGTTTCGGAGCTGTTTCTTTTCCAGCAGAGCACGGGCTTCCAAAAGCCTGGCTTCCTCTTTGCTCAGCAGCTCCTTCTGCAGGCGCCACAGTCTGAAAGCTGCTGTGTTGCAAGGCAGGAAGAGATTGGCAGGAAGAAAAATAACTTAGAAGAACTTGAAACAACTTAGTGTCACACAGCAAACACCCCTGACTGAACTCCAGCTGTCTGAGAAAGGGCACTTAAAGGGAGACAGCTCACATTGCCGGAGCAACCACATCTCTCCGCCTGAATTAATGCAAAGAACAAGGCAAAAGGTCTATGACACGGCGAGTGGGCCACCCTCCACCATCACAGATACTAGGCCAGCTATTTGCAAGATCAGGTTCTGAAATAATCCAGTCAAAGCAATAACTAGACACAAACCAAAAAACACAGTGAAACAGTGATTACCTCCAAGCTGTTCCAAGGCTATGGAACGTGTGCTTACCAGCTAGCCGTCTCATATCTCTGATTGCTTGAGCTCTCCAGCAGAACTCATCTCCTCTCTGCCTACGATGAAGCTGTGTCCACAGTCCTCTCTCCACCCTGAAAGAGTCACAAGTATGCTTGAACATCCATCTGTCCAAAGAGGCACTCAGAGAACAGAATCCAGAGCCTTCCTTCTCCCTAGGTAGCTTGCTCTTTTTGTCTGGACTTGTACTTCTGCCTTCAGCACCAGAAGGCACAACAAAAGGTTTTTCTTTTGACACGTCTACTGTCCTGCTAGAGACTGCAGTATTGCCTCACTCCAATCTCATTTACACCTGTATTACATATGCAGGCGATAGCTGAACTCAAGAAATAGTACAGGAGCATTTCTGTCAGACTCTCAAATAAGAATGAAAACACTAGTGCACAGAAGCTCTGGAACAGGATTGTTTAGTTCTTAAAACTAGGTTACTAATTCTTGCCGTGCTTATCTGCAGCGATACATCCAAAGACCTGGAAACAAGTTTCCCACCACCTGAGAAAAATTTGCCTGTGTTTGTAAACCTCCACTTGTCCAAAAGAACAGAAAGAGAATGCTCTCAGCTTACCTACAAGCCTGCTCAGCGTCTTTTGAGTATCCTACTGTAAGCTGGTGCTGAGCTGAGGTTGTCATAGTTGCTAATCTTCCTACTCCAAAAAAACCCACTGATGAACTTTGGGTATAAGAAATTGGCTCAGGCTGTGGAGCTTGCTTCTTGCTCCGTTTTGCCACAGCTTCCTTCCACTGAAGGAGAAACCACATGATTAGAACAAACTGCAGGCAGAGTATCAGTATCAGGGCCCACATCACTGAATTTCACACAGGGTACCCCTTCCTCTTCCCTGTCCAAACAGGATTTCTGCCTTCTCTGACAGCACAACAGAAAACTCATGGCACCACTTCTACTATCCCTAGCCCATCCTCACCCTGTGGAAGCTGACAGCTAGCAGAGCCGAGGCATTTCTCTGCTGGGCTACCTCCAGCTGCATCTTCCTCTGGTGCACAGCCCGCTGCAAAGAACCAAGGCCCTTCCGAAGCAGTTGCTGTCTGTAAAGCTGCCTGGCCGCAGCCCTTTTCCAGAGGATGTGTCCCCTCCAGGCTTGGAAACACCTACTTAGCATTTGTCTGTCACACAAGTGCTGGAAACTTAAAGAGAAAAACCAAAAGTGAGCTCCAGTTAACAGAAAGGGAAGTTAAACACAGCCAGGAGGTGGCAATCAGAGTTCAGCCATCAAGCTGAAAAAGAGGTATTTTAAATCATTCTCTCTAAATTGTGAAAAACCTGCAGCCTTACACCAAATTAAGGTATCACTGTCGCTAAATTGGTAGAAATCTCACACACATCTTATCCACAGGTGACAAATTTGAATCCCATCTCATGGATAAGCCCAGTTGTTGATCTTTGCTAACTATGCAGTGAACATGCTGGAATTTGCTGCGCTGAAAAGTAGCATACATGGTACCAATGCTTTTTCATTGCTAGCAACAACTAAGGTTGAATTTAGAAGCTAGAATTTAAAAGATATAGACATTATTTTTTAGAGCATGCTCCATTCTAGATGGCAACCCTTTAAAAAGAAATGGATGCAGCCCCTGAGCCAACCATGGCAGAATAATGTAGGTTAAGGCCCCAAACCAGATGTTCCCATGAACATGGCTCCTTGGCCACTTTCCAGTAGTTTTCCTCCCCTGTTAACTACCAGCACATTCACACATAAACACAGAGTCTTTTTACCTTTGCTCATTCACCTTCAACGACCAGAAGCTGTTTTCTGAGACCTGCAAACAGACAAAAGTCAGTAACTCACATTATTATTATTCACATAGCTCTACTCTGTTGAGGAATTTGTCTGTGTCCAGCATGGCAAGTTATTTTGGATGGAGACCAGAACAGTGCTGCCTCAGGGTAGTGTATTATGTCAGATGCCTTTGATGCTGCCCCCACCACTGTGAATACTCTTACATACTTCAGGCATGGGAAAGCACAACAAAACTGAAATCTCAGGGCCCTGAAACTATGCACAGAGTAAAAACCATTTCTATGATTTCCCTCTGCATATAGATCCAGAGAATATAAACAGGTCTTTACACTCCCAAGAACAACCAAGTTAACAAGCTGATCTTTAGGAAGAAGCATGTGAGACAGAAAGATGTGTATGTTGGGATGGAGCAGGGCCACAAGAGAGGAGATTCTGGCCATTCAGTGCCAGAAAAAACTATAGGACAAGCATCCCCATCACTGTTGTACCTCAGCTTTGCACCTCTAGCAAGAAGCAGAAACAAGCACAAGTAATATCTGAGAACAGGGAAGCTACACAGTGAGCATGCCCTCACCTCTCTGGACACAGTTTCCTGTGTCTGGGTCCCTTCTTCACAGCACTGTGGTTCTTCAGCACTCCTCTCCACAGGTTCTTCAGACTCTTTGAGATTGGCATCAGCTTCCCAATTCCTCCAGCTGCTTTGGTGGGAGTATTTGTTTCTTCCTTCTCTGCTCACATTCATACAGTCTGTGTCAGAATATTCACCAAAGCCTTCTTCAACCCAAATTCTGAAAGGGCTGGACTGGCTGCTGCCCACCACAGTCATTCTTCTGGCTGCTTGTGATCTAGAGTCACGTACCTCTTCTGACTCTTTGCTGGACTCATGAGGCTCAGAGTTGTTGACTTCTACAGATTTAACACTAAGCTGCTGGACTGGTCTAAAGTCTTTATCTCCAGGAGGAGAAGTGACTCTCATGCACACTTCCCTTGGCAGCCCATACATGGCTACACCAAGGTTCATCTGAGCTCCCCCCAAATCTGTCTCCAGTGACACTTGTAGACCCTCAGGATACAGACTGGCTGGAAGGTCTTTCTTCCAAGATACAGCACACAGGGGTGCCCCATTAGATGTCTCTTCTCCTTTAAGAACCTTTTCAGGGGAATGACTTGTTGTGCGAACATAACTACTACCAGTTTCCAGAGTTGGCTTTGCCTGGGACTTGCATCTGAAATAAGGGGAGCAATTGTAGGAGGAATCTGCTTCTGTATCCACTAGCCTGCCAGAGCTCACCTCAGAAGCAAGGGTTTCTGGCTGGATGTCACCTGAAATTTTGGTTCCCCATGCGTTCGAGTCAAGGTATCTGTATCTGTGAGAGACAGAGAGAGGTTCTGCACGACTGAAGTCCCCTGTCACTGCACTAAGGCTCCAGTCTTTAGCAAATGGGACACCCCATTTCAATCTTGCCTGAGCAGCACTGGTCTTTGCTCCAGCTAGCTGTTCTCCTGTGCTCAAGATACTAGGAGCTGAATCATCAGGAGCAAAGCACAAACCACCACTGACTGGAGAAGACTTGAGCTCCAGAGGGAGGGAGCCCCATATCCCCATCAAAGCACTTTCTTGCTTAAGCCTCTGGATTGAACAGTACAAGCTAGCAGAAATCTGTGAGGATTGCAAAAGAGACTGAAGGGACTCCAAACTAGATGGATCGAGATCCCCCAAGGTTAGGGCTGAACTACGACAAGTGTTCACACTTTCACTTGAGCTCCTTGAAGAAGGACACACCGCTAATTCATGCCTAAGAGGGGAATCTACAGTATGAGATGACAAACGTGCATTGACCAGCGAAGGGTTCACAGGATCCATACAAGAAGCAGCAGCAGGCTGATGCTGTTGTTTTTCTACTGGATAGTCACTATTCTTGTTCCTACTTTCTAAATAGCGATGGTGAGCAGTGTGTATGGAGCAGCTACCAGCTGCCTCTGCTTTCTGATGGTATTGACGAAAGCCAATACTCTCATTCCTTCTCCCTTCTAAACTATAAGACTCAAGGCATGAGTGTCTCTGAGGGAGATTCACAGCAGGGAGCACTGACAAAGCAAGATGGGGAATCCTATGAGCCACAGACTCAGAGCTGTGCTGCTGCTGCTGCAGCTTAGAGCAGAGATTATTCCGCTGCAGGAAGCAGGAACTGGATAACTGATTGGTGGTGTCCTGGAATGGCTGAGAAGGGATGGAGAGATTAGTCTGCCTCAGACTGGGATCTCTCTTCCCAGCTGACAGAGGTGCAGTACACAGCCAGCCTTGTTCTGCTCTCTGCCTGGGAGTCTCACTGAATGCTGCAGCCTCAAGCCTGCGATGAGAAATGTCAACTTGACCTCTAGTGCCCAAATACAGATCAACATTCACATTCTTCTGAATGTTTCTTTGCTCTGAAGAAAAAAAAGAAGAAATATAAACAAAGGAGCATACGTTTTTCTCATCACATCTTCCCTAGTTTGCCAAAGGCTTTGAGTACTTTCCTTACAAATTTCTTGTCTCCAACCCACCAGCTTCAGTCCCGAAAGTACTACGGACACTACACTCAGTTCTCAACAGAAAACCTGGAAAACAAAGACTTCCAGGATTATGCATGCACCTGCAGCCTAAAAAAGAACTTGTTGCTAGCAAGGATGAATTATCCTCCTGCCAAGACAGGGTAGCCTGTAGCTGCTACATGACACCAAACAAGAACAAGTTTAAAAGAAAATGTTTTTGCGGAAGTCAGAGCAACATGGTTCCAGCTGGAGTACAATGTTTACCCCTCTTCATTGATTGGAAATGGAGCTCAGATCTCTTCCACACTTGTATTTTCTCCAGGGCTGGTAAGAAAGGTAGTGTCTTGACTTAAGGTACTGTTTAACTGCTTAACAAGCAAAAATTTGTTCACATATCATGCTACAGCCCTGCAAAGGTTCAAGGCTTTGCAAGCCAATTTCTTCTTTCCACACTAAAGGATGAAACCATATTTACAAATCCAGAGAATCGACATGGTCCCCTAACCTGGAAGAGTTACAGCATAGATGGGCATTTGCAGCCTTGCCACTAAGTCAGACGGTTATACATATAACTCATGCAGAGCACAGATCTGTAAGTTGCTGCTAACAGGTAAGTGCAATTTGACAGGACTGTGCTTTCATTCCCTCAAATTTTAAAAGCAAGTTGTCAATCACTCTATCATTCTAACCACCATTCTTTTCCACACCCCTTTTAAAAAATTAAAATGGTATCGTGAAAAGACACAGACACCTCTATCATCTTAAAAAAAACCTAGTCAATTTGAAAAGAAAGAGACAGCATAGCCTATGAAATCAATGCCCCTTGTCTTTTTTGAACATAGTCAAATACCAGAAAGCCTCCTGTCAAACTGCACTCTGTTTCCAAACTATGTTTATCTCATTCTCTTGGAGGAAAGCATCTGAGCTTAGTCATCCCTGTTTGCAACAGCCCACTTGTCCTTCTCACATGCAAACTCCATCAGTAATCACCACAAACTGAGGAGTAAACCCAATTACTAAAGCAACAGGAGACAGTCGCGCAGTGTTGCAATTATCCTTGGGAACTGCGCGGTAGCATGAACAGAAAGATCCCATTATTTTTTCCAGACAAGAAGAAGTTGGCAACTACAGAGCGAACAGACAAAGCATGGCTGCCTTCTTTAGAGTGCCTATCACTGCATGAAGTATAACCACAAAATGCAGTGGACTGGTGTTCTGTAGAAGCACTCCATGCATCTCAGGAACATGCAGCCAACTAGTAATGTATCACAAAAGGGTGCTATGAAGGATTTGTGAAAGGATATGAAACCATCATGTTTATCACTGCTCTTCTGCAGTGATTTGTACCAGGTTCTCAACACATTGCCACTGAAATCAGGAAGAGAGAGCGTCCTTTAAAAATCATGTGTGTCTGCTTTCCCAAAATTGCCATTCAGGACTTTAATGTAACCACTGTTAAGCAGTAGTTAATCTTACTCCAAAGACAACAAGATTTTATGAAGTGCTTTTTAAAAACTTCTTCTAAGGCTGAAAGGGATACTCAAGGCAAGCCACAGATTTTGCAAACTGCAAAATCCATGACCGATGGATTTCATATTAGCTTTGATGTTTCTAACTAAAACACTAAATGCATGCTTACTATATACACTGTGCAGCAACACACTAACACATTAAAAACTGAAACAAATCCAATTAAGCAAACAAAAATTAAGCTGATCAATGTACTTCTGTTGTTATAAGCAAAAGGAATAGCACAGTTCATGACAAGTAAATCAAGCTTTCAAGTGAATGCCATTTTAGCATTACGATGACAACAGACCCATCATAAACACACAAGCACCGCTCAGACACTGCTACTTTTCCCATCCCTGCAGACCAAGGCAGATTCATTTCACATTGCAAACTGGGACCAGTGATTGGTCCAAGATCATGCTTCACGTGCCTTAGAAACAAGTCTTTTCCCCCGCTGCTCAGTCTTACAGACCAAACCATCACTGCCATCGCATGAGCCTCTTGTTGCCACTTCGAGATCGACAGGCACACACAAGTGGTCTTCCCTTAACCAGAGTGAGGGCAGTTACTGCTCCAGCAGCTGAGGAACAGCCGCGCAGCAGTGCCTGTCGCGTGGTGCCGTCCAAGAACGAGCTGGAGTCCCAGCACGCGGTGGTGGGAGCAGGAGGGCCATCACCTGCCCCAGCGAGATGTCTCGGGCCTGCTCTCAGGTGGCACAGCCATGGTGCATGGCCCAGGCCCTGCTCAGCATCCCCGATGGCTCCCAGCGCTCTCCACCCGTGCGGACGCACCTCTCCTAGGCACTTACTCACTCTGATAGCCGCCGGCAGACATGCTGCTGGGCCTGGCCAGACCCTCAGGGACGGGACACGCGCCTCTTCGTGCCTGCGCCTCCAAGCTCAGGGGCAAACCTGCAGCTTTGTGCCCCCTTAATGCCCAAACCTCAGCAGCAAGTGCACTCCAGCTGGGTCGCTGTAAGCAGCTTATCCCCCGCGATTAGCATCGCCGCCTGTCACCGGGGCTGCAGATGGCCACGGGAAAGCCGCTCTCGCCCACGGGTAATTAAAGCTGCGTCCTGCAGGCGGCCCAGACGTGGCGGGTCCCGGCAGGCCGGGGCGGCTGGCCCAGGGGAGGTGAGGCGTAGCTGCA